CAGCAGCTCAGAGCTGGGGGACCATTCCCATTGGCTCCTCCCAGCCTGTCTCTCCCACTGGAGCTCAGCTTGTGCTGCCCCCTTCTTGGCTGGGGGGAGGACCTATGCTGGGGTGAGATCCTTCTGCCCTGAGCATTGAGACTTGCCTCTGGGGAGGGTGGCAATTAGAGACCCAGCAGGAGGAAAGTCTTGAATCTTATACTCAGACACAGTGTCTGAGTACTGTGCCACTTGAGGGGCTAGAGAACAAGAAGGTCTGGCCTTGGGGGTGGGATGAGACAGGAAGGACAAGAGACTGAGAAATGAGGCAGGGAGACATCAGGGGGAGTGGGAGTCTGCCCTTGTGACTAGTCTCAGCCCCTGACCCGGCCTACTGTCTTCCTGGGTTGGGGGTGGTCTGCTGGCCCAGTTGCCAGGGGCCAGCCTCCCACTCTTCAGCTGGATCCCCCCAATCCACAGCCTTTGGACTCAAGCCTCTGTCCCCATCCCCCTCGCTGTCCGGGCTGTCTAGGCCTGCAGGGATCTAAGGACCTCCTCAGCCTCAGCTCCTCCCCGCTGCCTGGAGCTTCCAGCCAGGCCCTGATTGCCTACGGCAGGCTGACCTCAGTCAGTACTGTCCTTTCCTTGTGCCTGTGTCTACCCTGTTGTGTGTCATTGACTTTCTCAATCTCCAAGTGTGTGTGTTTCTTCTTGACTCCAACTTGGCACCTCTGCAGGTTGAAGGCCTCTCTGTTCCTACTGCTCGGTCCTGAGCTCTTGCTTCACTCCCAGGGATGGGCCCTTTCTGGGTGCTATTGTGGGGGAGAGGAAAGGCAGGAAGCCCCAAGATACAGGGCATCTTTCCTCCCCACCCTTCATTGTTAGATTCTGCAGCCTGGAATTGCCAAGAGAACCTGTTAGCAATGGGGAATTGTGGACCCCACATTGGACAAGATGCCCTCTAGTATCCAGCCCCACCCCCAGTCCCAATGATGGGGCCTTAGAACCCAACCTTGGAGATGGAGTAGCCTTGCTTGAGGTCATTGTACCGAACCTCCCACTCATTGGTTGTCCAGGCCAGATTGAGACTTCCCCACCGTCTGCTCACTTTGGCAACCTCAGAACGTAGTATTGCAGGTCAGTGCTCACAGTTACAGCTGAGACCCAGCTGGGGTGCTCAAAGCCCCCACCCTTCATCTGGCTGGTCATCCCTGCACAGCATAAGCTGCTGCCTCTGATTCTGCAGGAAATCAGTAGAGGCTGTCCAACAATCACATTTCCTCTCAGGTTCTTCCCTAGAGGGATGGGGGATGAGGAAGCAGGACAATGGGACATGGCTATGGCAGAGAGAGGTCTTGGGTGCTGGGTTCCACAGTGGGCTGTGGATGGAGCCTGCCATTGTGTTTGTCGCTGTTACTGATGGAGAGGACTGGCCTCTCTGGGTATATGACTCTACAGAGGTGTTATTTCCGTGTGACTGTTACTAAGTCTCAATATCCCTTTGTCACTGTGCTGATGTCACCATCAATGTTACTCTTTGTAACCATTGGTCTCATTGCATCTTTGAGGTCTTGGTCACAGGTCAACAGGTGTCACTGCCCTGATGGTAGACATCATTATATTTGACTGCCACCCACTGCATCATTCTTTGTGGTGACTGTCAAGATCCCTCCGTGTAACTCTTAATGGTGTCACTGTGTCATTTTTACTGGGGGTTCTTATTGTGTGGTGGTGTCTGTGCCACTTTGAGGCAAGATGTTGGGGCCCTAGATTTGTGTGGCCAAGTCACACGTGTGTGTAACAGTTGATACTAATGTTTCATGTCAGGAGAGGTGCCAGGCCCTGGTGCTGAAGGGCTGTCTTGGCTCCTTTCTTGCTTGTGAGGCCCCCCCTCTATTCCCATCTCACTCTGCAACTGACCAGGCCCATTTGCATAGCCCTCATCTGGGCTTCTTTGGCAATTATCCTCTAAATCTAACCCACAGCCATGGGGTGTGGACTTGGAAAATTCCTGGGAAAGATGCTCTTTGCCCTGTGATGGGAGGTGTGAGGTAAACTAGGGCCTGCAGAGCTAGGGGAGTGGGTCCAGCTGGAACTTGGAGGAAGTGGGGGCAGTAGAGCTGTTCTGGGGATTTCTGGCTCTGCAGAGTACTCAGGTAGGGGTGGGGTTCTAGTGCGCCCTTGTCCCCTTGTCCCCTTGGAGCCAGGCTCCTGGATGGCTGGGAGAGTACTTCTGCCCCAGGAACGCCCTGCTGTGGTCTCTGCCTGGGTCAGTGCTGCTACATCAGCCACCATCCTCTCTCCCGTCCACCCTGTGGTGCTCCGCAATCATGGAGCTGCTGCCATGGTCTGTCATTCTCTCTGGGGCTGTCCCTTCTCCTGCCCTTGAGTGTCTCCTATAAGCCTCATCTTTCTCCTTTATCTCTGACTCTCCTTGTCCCTCTGGGTGTCCCCCCTCCCCTTGTCTTTCCGTTTTCTGGGTGCCCCTGACCCTGTAGTGTCTGTCTTGCCACCCCACCCCCACTCTCTGCAGCACTTGCTAGTGCTCAGCAGCGCCCGTCTCCCATGGCTGCAGCCCCGTTGGCCCAGGGCCCGGCCCTTACAGTAACTCATCGGGCTGATGGAGACGACTTTGATGAAGAAGCCTCCCCTCCCCCTATGGGGGCCTAAGAGCACATGCGCATGCATGCATGCGAGTGTGTGTGTGTGTGTGTGTGTGTGTGTGTGTGTGTGTGTGCATGTGTGTGTGTGTGCACGTCTGTGTGCACCTGAGTCACCCTGTGAAGGGTGCCTGGCCATCTTCTCCACCCTCGCCTGACTGAGACCAGAAAGGAGCTGGGAGCAAGGGGCCATCCTGTTTGTGATCTAACCGCCATCTACTCTGCTCGTGCCTGGTTTCCGTTGCTGCTCCCATGTAGTGGGCAGTGGACCTGGCATGGAGACTCTCCCTGGCTGAGAGGAGAAAGGCACTGACAGAAGGCACAGATGGTAAGGGAGGATCTAAGGGCCACCAACAGGGCTGGGGTGGGGGAGCAGGTTTGCCTGCCGTGGCCTCTTGTCTCACTTTTCCTGAACTGAGCAGCAGCTCTGAATTCGTACAATTTTGTGTTCACTTCCTGGCTTGCTGGCTGACTTAGGACTAAGGACGTTGTCTTAGCCCCTTAGACCTGGAGAAGGGGGGCGTTAGCTGAAGATGAGTAAATAGCCATGCTCCCTCCGTATGAGCCAGGCCAAGTAGTAGCTCCAACTTGAGAAGGGTGGTAAAGGTCACACGGGATAGAAACAGCAGAGCTGTGCCAGGGAGGTGCACCCAGAGCACTTGTGGCTGTGGCTGTAGCTGTGATGGGGGTGGGAGGGGAGGAGGAGGAGGAAAGAAGATACGGGTGAGGGGCTTTCCTGGAGAGGTCAAGTGTAGCGACTGGTAGGCAAGAGCTCTCCCGCAGAGGAGGCCCACCCCCAACCCCAGCCACCCCCAGCTGCTACAGGCTGACACCCACCTCCAGGTTCCCCCACCGTTGCTGCTGCTTGCTGCTGCGTCTGCACTCTCTCTGGCACTTTCTCCGGGTGTATCTGGCAGCGTTTCTCGGCCGGTGTCTCTGGCTGTGTGTCTGGCAGGGTGTGTGACTGCGTCTGACGGTGCCTCTGGCAGCGTGCTCTGTGCTGTGGATACTTCCTGACTGCGCATCTGGCTGTGGCTCTGGCTGTTTGTCTGGGTGGGTGCCTGTTTGTGTCGATCCGTTTCTCTGCAGCTCCTCTGCTCGTGTGTCAGACAGTGTCTCGGGCTCTGTCGCCAGTGGGTCCGCTGCCTGCGCTGCCTGTTCCTCCTCCAGCAGAAAATCTGCCTGCCTCTGGCCGAGCCTTCTGTGGGGTTTCTGGCAGGTCCCCCGGTTGTGTCAGCTGTGCTCTTAACCATTTCTCTGGCTGGTTATCTGGTTCTGTCTGCCTGTTCCCTTGGCTTTGTTCCATGGTTCCTGTAGCACTCACTAGGGAAACTGTTTTTTTGGGGTTCTTTCTTGTTGTTTAGGGCTGTCTGTTTATGATGGTGGTCCCGAGTGGGTGTATGGTGGTGTCCTCCTTGTCTCTCTGTGAATCTCTTCTTCAGCGGGACAGTTTTGTCTCCCCCATCAGACGGAGAGATCATTACATTGGGTGTCTGTTCTCCAGGTCACAGTTGCTCGCCTGCCTACAGGTGTGTGTGTGTGTGCTGGGGCACAGGGTTAGAGCAGTCAGACCCACCCTAGGAAGCTGGGCACTGGGCAGGTACCCCCAGGTGTACCCCAGTTTCTGGTGAATGTGTGTGCTTACCTGGGGACTCTGGTGCACACTTGCTGGCCTTGGGATCCAAAGCCCTTGTAGGCATTTGGCTGGGATTCCAACAAGGACATACATGTGAAAATCTCAATGTTTCCTTGGTCACTAGTGCACAGTGCAGCAAAAGCCAGCTCTAACCTTGCAGCCCTTCTGCTCTTAGTTCCCCAGAGTCTGTGGCCAAGCTCATGGCATGGTTGGTGAGGGACAGATGACCATCCAAGGGACTCCTGGGGTCCAGGTTTCAGGCTCTGCCCTCAGGAGCATGGCAGGGGGCCTTTATTCAAGGTAATTTGGGAAAGTACAGACCTCCAATTACCCTTTCAGTTTGTGATGTTTATAGCTAATTAGCCAACCTCACCAGGAAAGTTGTTGTTTTAGAAAAATGACCCTGGCATTGCCAACGTTCTATAACTCATCTGTGCCTGACTGCACTGCAGCCAGCAGTGTTATCGAACAGAAAACCACTGTAGGTTGCCTTCTACCGTCATAGCAACCCTTTACCTACAATACCAATAATGTTACTTTCTGTTGCTTCAAGGAGGATCCTGAGCACCATTAAGAAGGGCGTTTGGGGTCAAGGTGCAATGACCTTAGGAATGGGATTTCCCAGTCTTGCCTGAGAATGGGGTAGGGTGGGGAGTGTCCTCCCCAGGAGATCTCTGCCTAGGCCGATGCCACTCCTCCCCCATTTCTACCATTTCTTCCAACAGATGGCTGCTCCTGTCCCGTGGGCCTGCTGTGCTGTGCTTGCTGCCGCCGCTGCTGTGGTCTACACCCAAAGACATAGTCCGCAGGGTGAGTGCTGGGGCAGATGCCCGCCAACCCCCTTCCCAGAGCCTGCCACGAATCCGCGACTTTGCACAGCTGCACACTGACACGGACACACAGGAACACCCGGAGGGACGTGGGGTCTTGTGCTGCTGATTTGCAGGGTGACCCCCTGGTGTCCCAGACAGTGTCCTCCAGAATCACATTCCTGGGTGGTTACACACGACTGTCATGTCTCCAGTTTGGATGATCTGTCTCCCTTCTCACTGGGCTGCTGGGACATGAGTTGGAGAGGGACTCATGTCCAATATCTGGGTGAAAGGGGATCTTCTTCTGCGGGGTTGATAGGAAAGTGGCTGGAGGCACAGCAGGTAGGATTGCTGGTCACCTTCTACTTTCAGCCTTCTCCTGGAGGGAGAGAGGAACAGAGATAGTGCACAGAGAACAGGTTAGGAGATAGGCAGAGGCATGAGTTGGAGGCAGGGATGGTGCCCTAAGGAAGGGGACATGTCAGTTAGCACTCAGGGGCCAGCAAGTCCTTCCCAGGACCCACAGGACAAGCAGCAGTGCCCCTGCTGGGGAAACAGGTGCCCTCTCAGCTTGGCCATCAGCACAACTCAAATAGCCACATCAGTGGAAACTCTGAACTTGAACTTGCCTCAAATGAGTCTACCTAAACTCACCCACTTGGACAAAGCCTGCACATGGGGCTGGGCAGAGGCAGAGAGGGTGGGGGCATCTTTGGAGCCCAGGCACAGAGCAGACCCTGATGGCTCTGCCACCCTCAAGAGCTGTGGGTTCCAAGAGGGCAGTAAGCCTGTACTTCTCAGCCTTGTCTGTACGAGACCAATAGCCCCAGAGAGAGCCTGACTGGCCCCAGGGCTGCCAGGGTGGGCTCTGCCGATGTGTGCAGAGGTATCTGTCTTGTCCCTACAGACAGGGCCACGTGTGACCAGGGTCCTGGGCGGACACACGGCTACATATCCGAAAGAGTCTGGAACTGTGTCCCATGCTGGTGAGCATGGGCTGTTTGGTTGTCTTTCTCTGTGGAGCTGGACTCCTGTGCTTCAGGCTTTCCCTCATTTGTGTTAGTATCTCTGTCCAATCTGTGCATCTGTGTCCCTGTTGAAACTGTTCCTGTGTGAGAGACGTGTCCCCACATGTAGCCATGCCTCTGGATGACAATGCTCCTGTGTCTGCTTGTCTTTTTTGTTTTGTTTTGTCTTGTTTAAATAAAGACCTATTTATTTGAAATGCAGAGTGACATAGATAAGGAGAGACCCTCCGTTGGCTGGTTCACTCCCCAGATGACCGCCATAACTGGCGCTGGGCCAGTCTTAAGACAGGAGGCTGGAGCTTCTTGCAGGTCTCCCACATAGGTGGTGGGGTCCCAAGCATTTCAGCCATCTCCTGCTGCTTTCCCAGGTGCATTCGCAGGGAACTGGTTCGGAAGTGGAACAGCCGGGACTTGAACCTGTGTTGCAATATGGAATGCTGGTGTTACAAGTGCTGGCTTCACTTGCTGCACCACAGTGTTGGCCCCATGCCTATGTTGTTGCGTCAGATATTACCATCCCTGAAATGGGGCAGTGTCCCTGGGTGACTGGAAACTCATATGTAACTATAACCTTGTGGATTATATCGTGTGTGTGCATCTTCATCCGCATCCTCGTGTGTGCGTTTGTGTGTGTGTGACAGTGTGAAATTGCTTAGGATGGAGGGGGGGTTGGTTTCCGGCATGTGGTCCCCATGTGAGTCTGTGTGTGCAGGTGTGAGGGAGCTGTCAGCTCTGTCCCTCTGTGTTCTCCATGTCCATGACCTCATCCTGTCTCTGTCTCTCATCCTGGCTTCTAACAACCTTTTCACAGCTGATTCCTTTGGAGCATTTGTCACCGCGTCAGGGCCAAGAACCCCATCCTCCCCCTGCTGCTTGATTTAATTTTTGAAATGGACAGCACATCAGTAGGGGCACCCACGGGGTGGGAGGAGAGCTGTCCGAGACAAAGGATTAAATCATCGCCATCTTTGGCACAGTTGCATGCACGGCTCTGTGCGTGTGTGTTGCGTAGCTGTTGTGGTGCTGTGTGATTGTCATGCTGTGCTGCCCCCCCTCCTGCCTTTGCATGTGGCCTCTCGTTGTCTTCTGTCATTGCGTGGTCATTTCTGTCTTCCTGGCCTGCCCTCAAATCCTTGGTTTGTCACTGTCTCAGGTTGTGTTTCCGTTTCCTCGGTGAGGCAGACAAGGTGAAGTGGGGGAAGTGTGAGCCCATGGCCACCTTGTTTGTGGTGTGGCTGGCTGACCGTTGCCTCATCCTGTGGCTGTACCTGTCCCCAGTACTGAGGGCCATGCTGGGCCCATGTTCCTGCTGAGCTGCTATTGGTCAGCACTGATGCGTTGCCTCCGGGACCACGATGGCCACGCCCCCTCCCCAACGGTCAGTTTTCAGCCTCTTCCTCAGGCAGCTGGATGCATTCTCTGCTGGGGTGGGGGCGGGGGGTGTGCAGGGAGAGAAAGGGGGGCTTGGCATGGTTCCTGGAAGCTCCAGGTTTTTGGAAGGAGGTTGGAGGGGGGCTCCATGGCTGGAGCTGGTGGACTGGGACAGCAGCGAGAGTGGGGGGGCTCAATGGCCTGAGCCTTGGACACTGGGGCCTCTTGGTCAGGGGGAGGCCCCCATTCAGTCTCTAGTCCAGCCTCACAGCTGTGGCCTCCAAGGCCCCCAGCCACCGCCCTTCCGCCCGTTCATCCTCTGTTCGGCTGGTCCCAGGCCCCACAGCCGAGTGGTCAGGGCTGGCCGGGTTTCCTGCCTCCTCTCCGCCAACAGGACTGAGAGGCGCAGAGAGGGGCAGGACAAGCGGAGGCGCCAAGAGCGACCCTGGCACAGGACGGCCACATGTTGCAGCGCCGGGGAGGGGCTGCACCTGGGGGAATCAGTGGCCTGTGTTGGGGCGGGTCCCTACCTTCCCACCCCCTCCCCACAAGTCTAGTGGTGTTAACAAGTCTAATTAAGAGGCCACTGGCCCAACTTAATTGGCTCGTTAACAGGAATTGCTTCTGAAAATCCCCCACCTCAGCGGGGTGGCTCTATGGAGGGGACGTGAGCAAGTGTTAACGAGGAATCCTGCAGCCACCGCTCCCCCCTCCCCAACCACCACTATTGCCCCTCCCCCGCTGCTCGTCCCCTCCCGCCAGCCCGCCCTCGCTCCACTGATCTGGCTGGGACAGGGGAAGCATCTGTCCACAGGCTCAGGGGGCAGGACAAAACGGGGAAGGGGGGCTGTCCTGAGATTCCGATCTCTCTGGCTTTGTCAGCCTGCTGCTCTGTGACCCCACCGCTGCCGTTCTCTCACCGCGCCTCCTCCCCCACCTAGCGCTGCCTCCCGACAGGTGCTCCTTCCGCCCCTCCATCCCCAGTCTCCTGGGCTCCGTCCATCACGCCTGGGTTGCTGAGGCCAAGGCTGGCCTTTGCTTTTGGCTCTGACAGGCTCCTCCTGGGGGCAGGAGAGGAATGGTTAGAAGTGCTCACTCAGTCCCAGCGCCAAGCCCCCCAGGCCCTAAGCAGTTCCTGTCACAGAGTTGACAGCTGCCAGGAGCTCCCTAGGTGTCCTGACCTGCCTGTTCCCCCTCCCTCTGCTGCTGCTCAAACCTGGATAGCTTCGAGATGGGACTCTGGGCGCTGGAGAGGGGAGGAGAATGGGCAGATTTGGGGCGAGGAGGGGGGTCAGGAAGAGAGAGATGGGGAGATAGAGACACAGCAAGCAGAAGAGGTTGTAGGGGAGAGAGAAGGAGGACCTTTCCACCGACTTGCCTGGGTAACAGATGTCAGGGACTGGGGTTGGGACTGTTGGTGGCAAGAGGTTAGGGTCATGGGGGTCAGGCAAACTTTTTAAAGGACCAAGGGACTGGAAGTGAGCTGGGTTTTCACAAAAAAACTGACTCTTCCCAGCATTACACAAACTACCTCCCCCTGCCCCTCACCAACCTCCTGTGCAGTTGCCCACTGATATGGATATACACAGGCGTACACAGATGTAGAGATGTACCCACGCACTTGCACAGTCATAGAGAGGTTTTTGCACACACACTATGTCACACAGCCTCACACCAAATCTCTCACCTGCATTCCTCACCCATGCACCCTCACAGGCTATCATCCACTCATACACTCAGTTTGGGGTGCTGGACAGAGCAATAACCTATTACTTTTTTCCCTGTATGCTTTCTGCCCACCTCTCCTCCAGAGGCACCCCATGTGCAGTACGAGCGCCTGGGCTCAGACGTGACTCTGCCGTGCGGGACAGCCAACTGGGATGCAGCTGTGACTTGGCGAGTGAATGGCACAGACCTGGCTCCTGACCTGCTCAACGGCTCCCAGCTCATGCTCCGTGGCCTGGAACTGGGCCACAGTGGCCTGTATGCCTGCTTCCACCGTGACTCCTGGCATCTCCGCCACCAAGTCCTGCTGCACGTAGGCTGTGAGTGTTGTCCTCACTCCTCTTCCCACCTCGCTCCTCCCTGAGGCCAGAACCCCAGCTCACATCGTGTCTTTCTGTTGGGGGACAGGGAGTGGGGAGGACAGCCTGACACTTTGCCTTCATCCTATCGTGGGCTTGTTCTTCTGATATCCCCAAGAGCAATCTTGCTCGCTTGAGTCCAGACTCTTGGACATTTGGCCGATGCATTTGGGATCCTGAAATCTCATCTCCTGTGACAAAATGGGCAGAGGAGGGTGGCAAGTTGTGAACCACTTGGGGCCGGCGTGGGGAGGAATCCTAGGATCATGGCTTTGGAGTGAACTCACTGTGCCTGCCTCCCCCAGGGGCTGGCCAGAGGGAAATGAGGGGATAGCAGATATGGTTATGCAGGTAAGGAAATGGGCATGAGAGAGTGGGGAGGAAGAAGGGCCAGGAATAGGAAACACAAGGGGACTTGGAGAACTCAGAATGTGCACTGGAGCAACTCCACTAAAGCTGAGTGTGGCTCTTGACTTCAGAGGTTGGGGCTGGTGACAAAGGTGCAAGGAGGGGTTGAGGGAAGTGGGGCCAGGGTTGGGAGGAAGATTGGGATCCCAGTGTGCAGAGGGGGATAAGGCTGGACCTGCAGTACTGATGGTGGATTAGGGAGTGGGGGTGCAGAAAGTGGAGCGGTAGAGATTAAGATATCTGGAGGTTTCCCTGGCTGCAGCCCCAGGAGAAAAGGGAAGAAAAGGAAACTGTTTGGGTAGTATCTTCCTTTGAGTCCGATCCCAAGACGAAAACTCACATGCAAGTGGTCTTTGACCAGCGGTGGAGACACCACAGGGACTAGGAAAGTGACACAGGAAATGTAGAAGAGTAAGCTATCCAGACGGTACCTCTGGGCGGCCGGGGTCACCACCCAAGGAACTCTGGGTGCACATGCAGAACGCACACCTCACAGTTCCCCAGCCTAAGCATGAGGGATCTGGATGTTTATACACAAACCATTGCCCCTCATTGGCTGAGGGATTCTCCTGGGATGGGGGTGGAGGAACTTTAATTCCCCAGCAGTTTTGGCCTGATGCCTTAGCAAGCACAGCAGGCTTGGTGGCCAAAGAAAGCTCTTAGGCAAATAACTGCAGAAGTTGGCAGTGAGCAGAGAGAGAGAGAGGTGTGGGTGAGGGAGCTGCAGCTTCATGGACATCTGCTGCTACAGACAGGGGAGATTGGGGTCCTCAGGGGACAACTGGGGGTTGAAGCCTGGCAGCCAGCGGACCGAGGGGCCAAGCAGCAGGGAGGCCTGTGCAAGGGATGGGAATCTCAGCAGGTGTGTGTGGGGGGATGTCAGCATGAAAGCTATGAAAAGTGGGGACATGGGCAAGGGAGAGAAAGGTGGACCCAGGTTAAGCATGCAAGGGGTGGAAGGAGAGCCATGAGCTACAAAAAAATGAGAAAGTGGAAAGAGCAGGGAAGGAACAGGGAAGAGCAGGTGAGGTCTGGAAAAGTCAGGATGATGAGGTCTTTGTCAGATTCACCCACCAACACATGAATACAGTTGAGTTTTCTTCTCTCCTGAGCCAGATTCAAGCATCTTAGGCCTCTTCCCAAATGGCTGATTCACCCCATTGCTTAAGAATGGTCAGTGGGGCTGACGGAGGTTGTAACAATGTATTTTGGATGGGTTGGGACCTTTCCTCCCATTGTATTCAAAACAGGAGAGATGGCTTTCAAAACGGGACATTTTAGCTGCAAGGGTGGAGTGACCCCTTTTGGCCATCTTGAGAAATGCAGGACCAGCCTGACAGAATCCTCCCTGGTCGCCTCAGAGTCAGTCTGAAGGGCAGCCCCTCAGCCTAGCCCTGGGAAAAGGTCCATTCCCGGAATGTTGCCAAGAAAGGACGAGGCCATCCCATCAGCAGTCACACATACCCCTGCCTCAGGATGGGAAAAGCTGGCACAGATGGTTTTGCCTTGGTGAACCCAGCCGCCCCCACTGCCTTCCTCAGACACTATGGTTCTTTGAGAGGTCACAGCAGAGGAACTGGGTTTTGAAGAACCATCTAGTTTGTGGCCTCCGAACATGGCCGCAGCTGATCAGGGCCCAGCTCTTTCATCTCCGGTGCTCACCGCTCCCCAGGCCCTGCCTATCAGAGAAGAGCTGGCCCTGAACTGGCTACAGTGTTAGTATCAGGTACTTATCTCTCATTGCCTTATTTCCTTCTAAGGACCTGGTCAAGGAACAGGGGATGTTCATCTTGATTGGCTCCGTCACTTTCTATTAGTCACAGGAGGCTGGGTTTGGCAACACTCAATATCATATTATCCTTCCTACCAGCTCTCAGAGAGCAGCACAACGTTATCCCTGACGTGTGGGTCGTTCAAACAAAATGATTTACTGTTTACCCTAAGCATGTCAAAGTGTTAGGCCTCTATTCCCAGGGAAGCCTGATCCTAACAGCATGCTGCCCAAAGTCTCGTTAACCAGGCCAGGCCGCCTTCCTCCGGCTCCACCTTCCTGCCCCCAGGTGGACGCTCACAGGCAGAGCACTGGGGACCCTCACCTAAGATGATGTAGGGAAATGGGGTTGCAGGGTCCCCTTTAAGTAACACTCTTTTGCATCATTCTGAGTTTCAGCTAAAACAGAAACTTAATTTTAACAGTTTCTTGTCCAGCTTTAATTTTTCTTTTCAAATTTGATTCATCAGGATGCCAGACCCTGTGGTTCAGCACTGCTTTCTACTCCTCAGCCCTGTTTGGCTAGGAAGGTAGGAATGATGCGAGCCAGAGAGAGAGAAAGCATGAGCAGTGATAAAAGATGTCTGGGGTGGGGGGATCATGAGTGGGAGGCCAGAGGGGAGTCTTGAATTGGGGCAACTCCAAGGATGCCACAAGGTAAGGTAGAGACCAACCCTGGGCCTCAAGTGCCTGGCAGGAGGAGGAGCGTGGGTGGGGCATGGGCAGGGCTGCCGCGGAAGGGTCACCCCGCCCTGTCCTGGCCTGATCTGGCCTGGCCCAGGGTGTGGGCAGCCTGCCCCCCCCTCCCTGGACCGACGGGCAGGCCTCGTGCGTGCCGGGGGCTCTGGCCCAGGCGGGCTGGCGAGATGAGAGGAAAAACATGCGGTTTGGTGGGCTGGACATGGAAAAACAAGCCAATTAGGAAGAAAACAAACAAATCCCGGGCCAGCGGGGGCACACGCACTCACGCACATGCACACACAGCGCCGCGTGGGACCTGGCGCCACCCTGCTGAGGGCCTGTCCCCATGAAGGGGCACCTAGGAGCGTAGCACGCGCCCCCAGGAGTGAGGGCAGGATGTGCATGCCTACCAGCATTAGCTCGCATGTCTCCACAAGCCGGCCTCACGCGCACGGTGTCGGCCTTGTGCCGGGAGCACCTTTCCACGCTCACGGTTTGGAATGGTCTCTCTGGCTGAAGCCCTGTGACACACCCTGTGTGTTATGTGCGTGTTCGCCGTGGGCCTTCTGCACACAAGGGTGCGTTTGCACGCACGCTCTTGGAACCCAGGCCACACACCTCACATGTAGAGACGATGTGGAGATAGAAAGCCTCACCCTGAGTTCCATGCAGTGTCCAGCTCCATGGCCGCCTGGGGGCCACAGCTGCACGGGAGACCTCTCAGTCACATATACACACAGCCTCACAATCGCAGTATCTTCAAAACTCTTGTTCCTTCTGGCTCACAGCCCGCCTCCCAACCCCACACTGTCCCGCAATCTCACACTCGGCCTCTCCCAGCACCCCCACCTCCAACCACCCGGCCCCTCAGCTGGGCTCCAGCTGCAGCAAGTCACTCCTTTTCTTCCTTGTCTTTGTTTTTCTTTCCTCCTTTTCCCTCTGAGAAACCTGGTCCCTGTCAGGAAACCCAAGCCTTCCCTGCTCAGGGCCCAGGGCCAGGCAGGAGTAGCCAGATGATAGACAAAACCCTCGCCCAGCCTCCTGGCTGCCCGTGACCTGCCCAGAGAGGGGAACGGCTTTGAGCTGGGGGAAGACTTGCCCAGAGGCTAGTCTGGGGGTGGGGTGGGCAGTGGACAGAGGAGATTGGCTAGTAGGTGTAAAGGCCAGCCTGGGGAGGGGGCCGGGCAGCCAGTGCCATGGCCCACACTGCCCTCCCAAGTGTCCTGGGCAGCAGGGAGCTGACTTGGCAGACTTCAGTGCCCCCTCCACCCGCCTAGCGCCCTTCTCCTTTGAAGCTGGGGCGGCGGGGCAGGAGGGGGGTAGCGACAGGAGCGGGAGGGGGGGGGGCGGAGTGGAGGCTTCTCAGCCGACCTTGGAATGTCCTTTCCTCCCAGAGTGCCTGCCAACTCTGGCCTGGCCCACAGGCCCCCAGAAGGCACTTCCTGTGTCCTTGGCCGCCCCCCACCCTGCCCCCCACGCAGAGCTGCACACCCATGGGCCATCAGGGAAGGGATACTAAAGGCACACGAGACGAACGTGGAAGAGACGCAAGATGAACAACGGGGCCTGGAAGGCTGCCCAGAGCAGACCAGCGATGATGGTGGGCAGAATGCAGGCTTGCCTCTGTGTGATCACAGCTGGACGCTGGCTATCCCCTGCAGGCATAGGGCATGTAGCCGCCACTGCCCCCAACATCGCCCACTCTTCCAACAAACTCATCTCTTCTACTGCAGAGCAGATCTGGGTACTGGGCGTTTTGCCCTGGGCTCCTCTACAGCTTCACCCTAACCACACAGACACAGGCTGAGCACACACGGTCACACAGAGCCACTCACGGTCACGTGCACACTGTGGCCAGCAGCCCGCGGTCCCCTGTGTGTCACCATGGCCACTGTACAAGCATAGACATGCACTCCATTACGCTGTCCCTGGCTTGCTGAGCTGCCCCCTCCCACTTCCTGTCCACCTGTCAGGCAGAGGGTGGGGGCCAGAAGGGAGAAGGGGGGAGGGAGGCACAGGAGGGAGGTGTCAGTGTCCCTGGAGCCCTGGACGAACATTCCTTGCTTGGGTCAGATCACAGAAACTGCCTCCTTCCAGGAACCTGAGCCGCCTGTCCTCACGCCTTACCCAATGCCTGGGGGGTGAGACAGCTGGGCTAAGTGCTCACAGCAGCAAAAAAGAATGCGGTTAGACAGCAGAGAGGACCATGTGCACATGTGGTGATGGTGGTGGGTAACCCTCTCCCAGGGTTTGGCTTTAACTGCCTGGTTGTATGACCTCAGGCAGCCCCCTTCCCCCATCCCTCTTGGGACCTTCTTATTTCAGAGTTAAGGCAGCTGCTGAGCAGGTAAAGAAGGGCTTCTTCAAGGGTCTGTGGTGGAAGCTGAGGGCTGGAACAGTGCGGAGAGCTGTCCCAAGGGAGCAGGTGCTTCCTCCCCACAGGCACTTGGATACACAGAGTTGCACACCGTGTGGCACCGAGAGCCTAACACAGACCTACAGACCCCACATCCTCATGGAAGTGTCCATGTATCCCCAGCCACTCGACCCAGGTGGCCTGCTGACAGGCATGTAACCTACATCCTCGTGCACGCAGGCACCTGTGCGTGTGCACATATGCTTAAGAGGCTGCCTGGTATTGCTGTGCTGCGTAGCCACCTGGCCCACCCTGCGGAAAGAAGGCAGGGTGCCTCTGCTCCAGGAAGTGCACCCTGATCACCTCCAGCAACCAGAGGACTGGTTCAAGATGGGTCTCTTCGCTCAGCCTTCCGCTGGGGGCGGACACAACGTGGCAGGAGATGCAGAGCTGGGGCCGATCCCCCAGACATTGCCTCCATCCCGTGATTGATGAGCTGAGGCCCGCAGCCCCCTGCTCCCCACAGTTCCTGCCTCCACCAAGCAGGTGGGGGGGGCTCCCTCCCCACACAGCCCTTGTTTTCCTTTAATTAAACATCTGGCTCTCTGTGGCCTGGGAAGCCTCAGACCCTCGCTGACAGCACCCCCCCCCAACCTTTGGCATCCATGATGGGTTGAGGAGGGAGAGCCAGGGTTTGGGGGCCCACCTGTCCCCACACTAGTACAGGCAGCCGGGGGCGCCAATACCACTCTGACCATGCTCTCCTCATCCCCAGTGCCTCCGCGAGAGCCCGTGCTCAGCTGTCGCTCCAACACCTACCCCAAAGGCTTCTACTGCAGCTGGCATCTGCCCACCCCCACCTACATCCCCAACACCTTCAACGTGACTGTGTTGTGAGTAGCTGCATCTGTGACCCAGGTCTGACCCCCCCCAACCCTTCCTCCCACCCACCACATACCTTGAGTCTACACCCCAGTCTAGCCTTGGGCTTGACCTTCCCGCCACCTCTGTCCTGCCTGACCCTTGTTGGTAATGGTACCTGGGTCTCACCTCTCCACAGGCATGGCTCCAAAATCATGGTGTGTGAGAAGGACCCGACCCTCAAGAACCGTTGCCACATCCGCTACATGCACCTGTTCTCCACTATCAAGTACAAGGTCTCGATAAGTGTCAGCAATGCCCTGGGCCACAATGCCACAGCGATCACATTCGATGAGTTCACTATTGGTGCGTATGGTAGGGGGAGCCCTGCTGTGTCCTCTAGTAGAGATGTGTCTCAGAGGAGAATGTGTGCATTGGCAAGGATGTTCCCATGTGTGCATATGTATCCCAGCACATATGTACATTGGCATGTATATAATATAATATGCACCCCTCCAGACCTGGCATATGTGCACCTGTGACTATCAAAGTGAATGTCCTCTATCTACAGGTCTGAGGGGCCTCTCCAGCAGCTCTGGCTATCATGTCTCTGGCTCCTAAAGCACGCAGCAGAGGAAGGGGGGGCAGGTTGGGCCAGACCCTTACGCAGCTGCAGCCTCCAACCTCCAACCCCCTCCCCTCCGCCACTAATGGCTTCCTTACGGCCTGTGATGAATGAGGTGTCAGAACAGGAGACAGGACTGGGACAGATACCTCCCTCACCCTGACTCCCCATCCCAGCCAGACCCTCTGCCTGCTCCTATTCAAGGCAGAGCCTCTGCCTGCTCCTGTCCCATGCCAGCCAGACCTGCCTGCTCTTGCTCCACCCAGCCAAACCCTCTGCTGCTCTCTACCCCACTGCAGGCAGACTGCCTGCCTTCCTTGACTCCAATCCTTCAACTGGACCTTCCACCTGCCCTTGTCCCCTCCTCAGCCTCCCAACCCCCAGCTAGATCCCCAGGCAGACTTTTGTACATCAATTGCACCCTTAGGTGCTCCTGCCATATTCCCAGCCTGCCCCTCACCCAGCCCTGTGACATCTGTGGAATTTTAACCTTAGCCCATAGAGTAGCTTCAAACCCAGGCTCTTCCAGAGGAGGCTGTATCCCGGTTTGGAAATGGAAAAATTGAGGTGAAAAAAACCAGGCTTGTGTGTGTGTGTGTGTGTATGTGTGTGTCTGTGTGATGCTGACACAGAGAGGAGTGTCCGGGTGATGCTGGTGCTGACAGTGGAGGCATTGCAGGGGCTTAGCTATTGGATGCTGCTCATCGTGAAGAGGGGATGGGGGTGGTAGGGTGACATTTGAGATGTCAAAAGCCGCAATGATTTAGTGACAGCCTTCATGATGTTGGAGGTGTCATGGGCAGGCAGATGTAACGAGGTGGTTGTTAAAATAGCGGCTGCCCGAACTGACAATAGAGAAGAGGAACAGCAACCACCTTGATAACAGCGGTTGGGTAATCTGAAGAGGTCAGCATGGGTGGGCAGGGTTGGCTGAGTGGGGTTGTTCCCGGAGACGGGTAGTGACAAAGCTCTGTGTCCCAAACAGTGAAGCCTGACCCTCCGGAGAATGTGGTGGCCCGACCGGTGCCCAGCAACCCCCGGCGGCTGGAGGTGACCTGGCAGACCCCCTCCACATGGCCTGACCCCGAGTCCTTCCCTCTCAAGTTCTTTCTGCGCTACCGGCCCCTCATCCTGGACCAGTGGCAGCATGTGAGTGTCCTGCCCTGCCCAGACCACGAGGGCCCGCAGCAGAGTCACTATGTTCCTGGTGGGCCTGGTAGCTGTTGGAGAGGCACTGCGGAGGGAGAAGGGACCAGGGTCCCTGGGAGAATGGGTGATACTGAGTGAGGTGTTCCGAGATGGGTTGGGGGGCAGGTCCCAGTGACTCACTAATGCAGTGAGAATGCATGTGTCTTAGTGACTATCCGGGGAGGCAGAGAACAACGCTAGGAGATGGGAGAAGGCAGACAGCATTTGCCTTCCCTGAACTCTGCTCTCAGCATCTCCCTCCTGATATCAGCCTGCACTATACCCAGCAGGCAGCACAGTCCTGACCTCAAGGACTCACAGATAAATAAGGCTTGGGGGTGGGGTGGGGGGTCAGGAGCAGAAGGCAAGCTCAAGCCAGGCCAGGGAAGTGAGTCTGGGCCATGACTAACATCAGGGCTCAGCTTAAGGCTCATTTTAAAGTGGTGCATCCAGCAGTAGCCAGGGCTGAAAACTGAGTGGTGGTTGAAGCTAGGCGTGGGATTGGGCCATGTCTGGATGATGATCAAGCCACCGCAGAGGACTCTGGGGAGCACCTAGGAGCTTGGAACCCACTTTGGGGTTCTTCTATATCCAGAGCACCGTGCCCCTGGGGCTGGAGGAACTCTGAGGTGGCCATGAGGCCTGCGGGTAAGGGTGGGGCTGTGAGGCTGTTCCCAGGGGTCAGCCAGTGTCCCAGCTCCAGCTCTGTCTGCACCCCCTGCCTCAGCCCAGCCTGCCCTTTAATGTGCATAATTCGATTCCTGGGTGCCTGTCTAGGTTGCAGGCCTGGCCCCCGCCAAGGCCACTCACTCACATGCTCACATGTTCCCTGACAGAGTCCGGAGTCCCTCCCGCCTGGCTAGCTGCCCGCGCCTAATGCATTGCTAATAACCAGGGTCTCATTTCACAAGTCCCCCTCCCCCGCTAACGAGCTACAGGCAGCAGCCCTGCGCGTTGCGGCGCACACGCCTTGCAGTGGACCTGGCACACTGCCCACCACACACACACACACACGCACACACGAACATGTATGCACACAAGTGGCTTCCAGCAGGAACTCTGTTCCATGCTGGCACATGACAAACATGCCAAGACCACGCACCGACCCCATGCCAACGTGAGCGGTGCAAAGTGTGTGTGGCCCTGTGGCACGGCCATGTATGGCCTGTGGTACATGCTAGTCCGCTCCCTGTCTTGCCCATGTCAGGGATGGCTGGATTTACGTCTCTTTTCAACTGGAGCTATGCTCTGAATGGAATTGATGCTCCCCTATCCTTGGCCTCTCAGAGAGAGGCAGGTGTACAACTGGGAGGGGGTGGCGTGTGGAAGGCAGAGCAGAGAGAAACATCACTTAGATTTTCAGGAGGAAAATGCACACATCAGGAACTGCAAAGAAGCAAGGGCTCGAGAAGGGCTAGCAGGGGCTGACTCAGCATGTGTGGACAAAGGGGAGGTGAGGACTGGGGCTCAGCCTGGGTTGCCTGAGGCCTGGAGGATGTGTGTGACACCTGCTGCAGCTGACTGTGTAGGGGCCTGCAGGGCGAGATGGCTGTCTGCACCTAGGGAGTCCCTGCCCGTCAAGGAGCCCTTCTCTTAAGGGCGGATTAAGGGATCAGTGGTAACCCTGCATGAATGGTCCCAGCGGGCTGGTGCGGAGCCTGGTGGCTAAGCCGCCACACTCTACATCCGAGTACCTGGCTGCTCTGGCACTTGACTTTAGCTTCCTGATAATGCAGATCCTTGAAGGCAGCAGTGATGGCTCCAGAAACCAGGTTCCTGCCACCCACACAGGAGGTTCAGAATGTGTTCCTGACTTCTAGCTTTGGCTCTAGCCCAGCCCCAGCCATGGTGGGCATTTGAGGAGTGAACCAGGCAATGGGAGCTATTACTATCTCCCATCTGCATTTCCATGTTTGTTTCACTTTTTATCTCTCTGCTTGTCCAATAAACAACTGAAACATTTCAAAGAGAAGAAAAAAAATGGTTCAGGTCTAGTCTAGATGATTGAGCTCTCGGGCCATATTCCCAGAAGGACAGGACCAGCTGTGAGCCCCCCAGTGAGGTGGCAAATTGATCTGCTGCCTGTGGCCCTGTGTTCCTTCAAGGCCTGCAAGCTGCAGTCCAATGGGAAGTAGGAGCTGGGGGCTTCTCGGCCTAGGGGATCTGAGCAGAACAGAACGTCCCTCACCACCATCCCACCTTGATCAGTGTCCCCTCACCACCATCCTTGGTCATTGTCTCCTGCATCTGAGCCACAGTCTCAGCAGGAACTATAGGAGCTGCCTGATCCACTTGGACGCAGCCAAGTGTGTACAAGTGCACGCACAGGCACGCGCACACACACGGCCCATCAGGTCAGGTAGCCCAGATCCGTTTTCTTGGCAAGCGGTAGGGAGAATCAGAAAAAGGACCCAAAAAGATCCTGAGGCCAGACGCAGACCAGAGCGGCCCCCTCCTCCGCCTCTGCAGGCTGCCCCTGTTTACGAGGCGGCTTAATGAGGCAGCGGGTGCCGCTGAGATGAACCAGAGCCCAGCCTGGGCCTGGGAGGGGCGCCGGACAGGCAGGCTGGCCTGGAGGTTCTGGGATGGGTGTGTGTTGGGGGGGTGCGGAGCGGAACGGCAAGATGAGGCCAGCTCAGCAGGGGTGGGGTAGCGATGCCTCCAGGAGGAAATGGAGCAGCTGTCCACTGTCTTGCCATTCAAGAGGCGGCCCTCACCAGCTTCAGCCTCAGGCAGACTAGGCACCATGGGGTGGGGAGCAGCTGGCATGAGCTGGTGGCTCTACAGGGTTTCTGGATACCTGAGCCCAGGGCTGGAACTCAAGAAAGTGATGGTGCTGGCTGAAGCCATTCAGGTGCTCTCCCTATGCAGTAATCGTGGTGACACTAAGACATGACTACTGCTGTTGAGGCCTTTTCACAGATGAACTCGGCAGGGCTGCAGGAGGTCCAGTCACTTGGTCATGGCGCTAGAAGGGCGGAGTGAGCATTTGAATTTGGGCTGTCACCCAGCTCCAGTGTCCTGGTTGGTCGCAGTAGAGGAGGGATGGTCCTGCCTGCCTCATCCTGTGACCGGTCACCTTCCAGCTGGGCCTGTGGGAGTTGAGAGAGCTAGGGCCACAATGGAGGCATAGGCATGGAGTCAATTCAACTCTGTCCCCTGTAGCACTGCCACTGTTTTTAAAGATTTATTTTTTGTTTGAAAGGCAGAGCTAGAGAGAGGAAAGACACAGAGAGATTTTCCGTCCTCTGGTTCACTCCTCTAATGACCATAGCAGCTGGAGCTGCTGAGTCAATCCAGAATCAGGAGCCAGGAGCTTCCTCTGGGTCTCCTATGTAGGCAGAGGATCCCAAATACTTGGGCCGTCCTCTGCTGCTTTCCCAGGTGCGTTAGCAGGGATTTGGACTGGCTCTGCCAGCAAAGGCTTAAGTTACTACATGGCACCTGCCCTGCCACTCTTCTTTTATATATATAATTTTGAACTTTTGAATTTTATGGTACAATTTCTTTTTTCTTTTTGAAAAAGATTTATTTATTTTTATTGGAAAGGCAGATATACACAGAGGAGGAGAGACAGAGAGGAAGATCTTCCGTCCGATGGTTCACTCCCCAAGTTACCGCAACGGCCGGTGCTGTGCCAATTCGAAGCCAGAAGCTCTTCCGGGTCTCCCACACGGGTGCAGGGTCCCAAGGCTTTGGGCTGTCCTCCACTGCTTTCCCAGGCCACAAGCAGGGAGCTGGATGGGAAGCAGGGCTACTGGGATTAGAACCGGCGCTCATATGGGATCCCAGCACGTGCAAAGACTTTAACCACCACGCTATCGCACCAGGCCCTTGTGGTACAATTTCATATAGATTGGGAACCCCCCCCAAACTCCCACCCCCTGACAAATTTTCCCTACAATACTCTATAATAGTATAGTCCTTCACAAGGAATCATAATTCCATCAGTCTCTTACTTAAGTGTGCCCTGACATTGCTGCTACAGACAATGTCAGACAGTCCAGCATCCCATTGTCTACACATGTCCAACAGTTTCACTGGGAATCCATCTTTTGTTTGGAACCTGCCACTCTTCTTAAAGACTATTACTCTTCAGCTGGGGCAGGGTCTCCCAGAGATGTCCACCCCGCAACACCAGGGAAGCTGTTGCTCCCTACAGGCTGTCTTCACTCCCCTCTCCCTGATGGAATCCCTGCCCCTCCCATGGTCTGGCTGCAGGTGGAGCTGTCAGATGGCACCACGCACACCATCACAGATGCCTATGCCGGCAAGGAGTACATCATCCAGGTGGCGGCCAAGGACAATGAGATCGGGACGTGGAGTGACTGGAGTGTGGCTGCCCATGCCACTCCTTGGACCGAGGAACCGCGCCACCTCACCACTGAGGCTCAGGCTCCGGGTGAGCCTTTGCCCCTTGCACTCTGGCCTGCTCCCTGCACCTCCTCTAGGGAGGCTGCACTGCCTCTGTTTGTATGGACCCTGCTATTTTCGAACCCTTGCTAACTGGATGCCCTTGGCAGGGGTCACTGGGTGTGGAGGGATTATCCATGAGCCTTGGGAAGCAGGATCCACTTGCTGGGGGTAGGAGCGGGGAGCAAGGCGCATTTGAGAGAGAAGTTGTGTATGCTGGGGGTGGTGGGACCTTGTGAAGGCTCCTCTGAGTCAGGCCTCACCCCTGGTCCTGCCCTGAGTTTCCCCCATGCTCCCCAGAGACCACGACCAGCACGACCAGCTCATTGGTGCCCCTGCCCACCACGAAGATCTGTGACCCCGGGGATCCGGGCAGCGGCGGAGGACCTTCAGCACCCCTCCTGGTCAGCGTCCCTGTCACTCTGGCCCTGGCTGCCGCTGCTGCCACTGCCAACAGTCTCCTGATTTGGTGGGTGACGTGGGCAGGGCTGGAGGACAGGGGTGGGCCCAGGGCAGCCCTCCTCTGCACCTCTGGGCCCCATCCCTCACAGCCCTGTCCTGTTTCCTTGCAGAGCCGGCATCTGTCTGTCTGTCCATCCGTCCGTCCCATGAGGGCCTGCCAGAGCACCCGCCAAGGAGCAGGAGGCCAGAGCTGAGCCCGCACACCCGGCTCCTGTTTTGCACATGGGCAGGAGGACCTCTGGCATTCTCTTCAGACACAATTTGTAGAGACCCCAGCAGGCCCAGGCCTGCCACCCCTCCTTGTCCCCCAACTTCAGCCTCACCCCTACTACGCCAGCCCATCTCCCTCCCTGGCAGGAGCAGGGCTATGCAGCTAACCCACCCACCAAAGACCCCCTTCAACCCTGCCCCCTTGGGCTGGAACCCTCCAATGCCAGCGACTCCCAGGAACCCTCTGGGGGGCCTGAGGGGAGCCCCTCACACCCACAGTTCCTCTCCTGTCCCCACATCTCCTGTCTGTCCCCAGGGTCTCTGTGGCCACCATCAGATGATAAGCTCCTGACGCTGGGGGAGGGGGGCAGCCACCCCTCTCCATCCCCTCCCCCGCGCCCACACTTTTCAGGCCCCCTCCCACTTCTGTCCCGTTTTGTACGTCCCCTCTCTGACCCTGCTCTGCCCTACAGTATTTAATGCCCCGGTCGGTCCCTTCTAGTCTGACTCAGTGGTAACTTGCTGTATTTGAATTTTTTATAGATGTATATATGGGGGGGGAGGGGGGTTCTCATTAAACGTCACCATTTCATGAGTCCTTGGAGCAGACCCTCCTTCTCCTCTCAGGACCCCTCCCTGCATGGGGCCTGGAGGAGCGAAGGCACTAGGCTTGGGCTGGGAAACATTGTCACGTTCCTAAAGGTTCATCTGGGAGTTTTCTACCTGGGGGGTGAGGGGTGCAAGGCTTCCCTGGGGCATGGGGTTGCGGCCAGGGTACAGATACGTGACATGAGGGGCAGAGACCTTTCAAAGGTTATTTCCAGAGCCGCCTCCCTGGAGTACTGGGACCTGAGCTCCACCCCAGGAGCAGAGATGGGAGAAGATGTGGCCAGACCTTATCCTTGGAATAGAGGGGTGTTCTGGCCTGCATGCAAGTGTGCCTGTGTGCCTGTGTGAGCCCCCTCATGGCCAGGACGCACAGTCCAGCTGTGCTAGCAGCTCAGGCCAAGGGCTCAGCCAGGCCACAGGGCTCAGGGCACAGAGTATGCGGTCCTGGGCAAGCAGAGGGGCTGCCTAGAGGAGGACAAGGGATGAAGCACTGGAATTATGGAGTGCAGTGTGATGTGGAGCCAGAGAGGGGCGGGGCTGTGGTTGTCCAAGGTGCTTAGTCCCGTCTTCAGTTCCTCACCCAGCTGGGAGTTCCATCCTCCCACTAGAGCACCAGGGACCCTCTGACCTCTCAGAGTTTGTCTGGGGGCCTCCCTGGGCCCCAGCCCTACCTCACCACCTCCTAGGTGTCACCTGACTGAGGTTCCTTATCGGAAAATGCCTGGGGCTGGGGCCAAGCTGGCAGACTCCCTGCCTGAGAATGTGGGTGAGAGGGTAGGGCAGAGTCCCAACTGGGGAGCCAGGCCTGGCCTCACTCCGAGTGCCTGGAGCCAGATGCAAAAGAGCAGTGCAAAGAGAGCCGTGTGCAGCCCAACTGCACATGGACACATTCACATACCTGTGGCAGGTGCTGTGCTGACCCAACAGCCACCAGCCACCCATCACACCCACTCCTGACTCAGACCCTCTGGCCTGGCTCAGAGGATACATGCCTTCCGTGTGGCATCATGCCCTGGAAGGGGTTCACAGGCCTCAAGTACTGATGGGTCAAGCCCAGGTGAGGGGTTCCAGAAGGAGGTGGCTAACTCTCTTTTAGGCCACAGGGACAGGGGGCTGCTAGGTGGGAAACAGGTGGCAGGTCTGTGGCATTGGGAGCTAAAGAGCCTCGGTGTGCAGGTTCAGGCTGCCTGTACCTGCCCTGTCCCCCGAGCCCCCGGGCCTGCCTCTGTTTATTCCCCAGGTTCAGCAGGGGTAGAGGGAGTAGGGTTTGCCAGGGTTGTGGGAGCAGGGAGTCAGTGCTGCCGACCCCTACCAAGGCTAGAATTCTTGGGTTGTGTCAAGTCCTCCACCCTTCCCCATCCTTACAGAGGGTGTGCTGAAGTTAGGGGGTCTCTGTGCTAACTTCCTTCCCTGAGAGCCTTGGTCAGTTCTGACCCACCCACCGCCCACCCAGGGTTTGGGCATCAGCAATCTGGCCTCCATTAGCAACATGGGAAAGCAATTATGTGGGGCCTGGGGAGGAGGGAGCTGCTGGAGCCGCAAGAGGCTGATGGAGGAGGCAGGGGATGAGGGCATCTCCCTGCACCCCATCCCAAGCCCAAGGCAGCTGCCAAGGTGGGGCCACCACTTCTCACTGGGCTGGGCGAGTCCTGGTCCCCTCTCAGGGTTGTGGCTGTTGCCTGACATTGCCTCCCTCCAGTCCCGTCCTTCCTTAGCTGCTTCCCGTGTTGGTGTTGGGAAAGCCCACAATGGTGTTGGGAAGACCCCAGTTCTGGAGTCACAGCAGACCTTGAAGAAAAACTGTGCAGGGGCAGTTTGGATCCCAGCCTTGAGGTGCACATGTGGCCCAGCCTTGTAAGCCACTGGCTGTTTGCTCCCCCAAGGGTGCTCTAGGAATGGTTCCTGCATCTCCCATCGCTCCCTCCATGGAGGCATGGCTCCATGCAATCCTGGACTCTTCTCTTCTAGTCTTGTTCGTCCTGTATCTCCATCTCCAGCTCTGCTTCTCTTATCTGTCTCTCCCGGCTCTGCCAAATCCTTCTTTTCCGTTGCTTCTCTCTGTGTGTACCCAGAGGCCAGACCTTGGCCTGTGACCGCTGCTCGGCTCTGGCCTGAGCCTGAGGCTGTCCTGGTTTCTGCTGCCCCCTCTCGGCCACCCGCCTGCCCGTCATTCTTGCTCCCAGGCTGGTGGACAAGCAGGGTAAGGACACAATAAATCCCTGCAGGTGGGCAGAACCAGAGATCCTGGTTGGGGTGGCAGCAGGAGGACGGTGGGCGCAGGGAGATGGGTGTTGAAGGGAGGGCGGCTTCAGGCCCTTAGGGGCATCTGGGCCACGGGTTCACTCCCTCTAGGAGTGGGACTCAGGGTTCATTTCCACACTGAATACTTGGCTTCTACCCCCCGGCTCTGTTCCCTGTGCCTGTGCCTCTTTATTGCCTGAAGTACCCCTGCGCACCAGATCTGCAGCCTGGAGCCACTGGACCCTGGCAGGCTGGCAGACTGAGAGGACCTACATGACAGGACTGGTCTCAGGACACTCTTCTGTCCCACAAAGCCTTACCCAACAGCACCGGTCTGAAGGGAGAGGCCAGTGGGGGGACATCTGAGGGATGGCTGCTCTGATGTGGGCTGGTTGGAGGCTGTCCTCAGCTAGAAGCTGTGTGTGTGTGTGTGTGTGTGTGTGTGTGTGTGTGTGTGTGTGTGTAGGGGTGGGCAGGGACAGGCCAAGAAGGGACAAGGTCGGATCGGGTCCTTCCCAGGACAGTGGCCTGGGGAGTGACCGCCAGGGGGCAGGGCAGGTTCTCAGGAGTCAGAGGCAACGGCCCCAGGAAGGGAATGAGCAGCCAGGCTTCCCAGTTTGCACCTGCTGCTGCCCACCATGAAATTCCCTGGGAGTCCAGATGTGGGACCAAAGTGCTTGGGTGACTTCCAAGGGCAGCCCCTGTGCCAGGCTTCGTGCCTGAGCCCCACCCACAACCTCTCCAGGTGCTCACCTGTTTCTCCAGCTGGCACTGCTCCCCTCCCACACCCCACCTGCTGGTGTTGGGTACGTGTGCCTGAGCCTTCCCACTTTGACGCCCTGGCTCACACTGAGCTTCGTCTAGCCGTGAAGCATGCTGGAAATGTGAATTACTCACTGCTCACTCCTGCTTTACTGAAGCCTGGTTCTATGGGCCCTTGTGACATCCCACAGACTTGAAGGTGGGGGGCCCGGGGCCACCCAGGGCAGGAAGGAGGGTGATCTGAGGGCAGGGGTGGAGGGTGGCAAGACAAGGCACAGGTGGATTCTGGGTTAGAATGACAAAGTGAAGCCATCACAGAATTACACCATCCCCTGCTCCATGCTGTCCCCCCCCACCCACTATCAAAGGCAACAGAAGCCAAAACAAGCCAAAATAAAAAACGTTGCCACAAGTGCTCCCAGACCAACCAGACAAGGAAATCTTGTTCGTAAATGAAATAAGACAGCCAAAGGAAGCGGATCTTTACAGTGAAGGTCTGGGTGCAAGGAGCAAGCAGTTCACCTCCTACCCTGTCCTAAAAGTAGCTCTGAGAAAAAGGGTGCCCCCAAATGCAAAGATATCTTGAACAGTATCTTATACAATATCCCAAATATCTTGCACAGGGGGAGAAGTACACCCCTGGGGTGTTTGGGCTTAAGCCCTCAGCAGAAGCAAGAAGAGCTGGGCATGTTCTGGGGTGTGGGTCATGAAGCTACCAGGAATGAGCTGCATTCACTGTTCCTCAGCCCCCGAAATTGGAGCAAAATGTCGGCAGGCTCTGGGAGGAGGGCACACATTTAGACTCCTGCAGGCAGCCCCAGTCAAGCTGTTCTCAGGTCACCATGTGGGAGTAGCAGGGCTTGAAAACAAGAGCCACAGCTTCTAGGGGAGACAGTGGTCCAGATCAGTGGGAAGTACCCACACAGGTGAGACAGGGAGGGCCGGCAGGTTCCACGTGAGCCATAGAGGACAGAAGTGGGAGGAAAGGAAGTGGCCCTGGCCTCTGGGCACACAAACCACAGCCAAAATACAGGCAGGAAGCAAAGAAGGAGGAAAAGCAGGTAGAGAGGTACAGAAAGAAAGATGAGCACCTCAATGTGGAAGACACACACGCCAAGGACTCTGTGAGACCTTATAGCGTGAGAGCAACAGGACATAGAATTGAGATCAGAAAGACAAAACAGCAGAAGAGCAAGGGAGAGATGGGAGAACACAGGGAAACAAACTGAGGACCAGACTAATACCTAACAGGTGCTCAGCAGTGCCCAGCACAGACAGAGCAGCACAGGCCGCGGCGTCATGCAGGAGATGCTAGAGAGGCTGAGAGTGCATGTGGCAGGGAAAGATAAAGTTGTTAAAGCAATTAGGGAGCTCATGGCGAGTGAGGACAAAGACCGGCTGTGTTAGCATAGCTCTTAGCAGCCCTGAAGTAGAAACTCAAATTAAGAAGCTACTAAAGCATGAAATTAAAAATAAATAAATAAGAAAAGAAAAAGAAACACCTTTCTTGGGAATAAGGAAAGAAATGAATATTCACATCATATACCAGAAAAATGACATTGAGCCACCAGCACTAACCCATACTGAAGGATCCAGCACCGTGGTATATCAGCTTAAGTCTCTCTCTGCCTGAGGTGCTGGCATCACATATGGGTAACAGTTTGAGTCTGGGCTGCTCCATTTTCGATCCAGCCCCCTACTATGCACCTAGGAAAGCAGTGGAGGATCGGCCCCTGCACCCATACAGGAGAGCCAGGAGAAGCTCCTGGCTTACAGCTTCAGACTGGTCCAGCCCTGGTCATTGAGGCCATTTAGGGAAGGAATCAGTGGCTGAAAGTTCTCTCTGTGTCTGTCTCTCTTTCTCACTTTGCTAGTCTTCCTTTCAAATAAATATGAACTTTTTTTTTTTCCAGTAAAAGGACATACGACAGTGTGGGTGCTGTGCCACAGTGGGTTAAGCCACAACTTGGGACTCCTGCATCC